ATCGGTTGTAATGGCCATCATCAAAAAGTCTAAATAATAAATGCTGGAGGAGGTATGGAGAAAAGGGGACCCTTCTGCACTGTTGGTGGGAATGTAAATTGGTGCGACCACTGTGGAGAACAGTGTTTAAAACAAAAATAAAGGAGAGACAGCAGAGAACCTGCTTGCTCTTTCTGCTTGCACAGGTGCACCCAGTGAGGTAAGCCATGCTGGGTTTAGTGATGTCATGCAAGCGTCCTCACCAGAAACTGAGCTCTGCCAGAACCTTGATCTTCCAGCCTCCAGAACTATGGTGAGAAGAGATAGCATTTTGCAGTTTCAGCCCCTGGTCCGTGGTTACCTGCTGCTGCTGCTGCTGCTAAGTCACTTCAGTAGTGTCCAACTCTGTGCGACCCCATGGATTGCAGCCTACCAGGCTCCTCCATCCATGGGATTTTCCAGGCAAGAGTACTGGAGTGGGGTGCCATTGCCTTCTCCGCATGGTCACCTGAGCTAATAGTATTACACTGCCACCGAGAGTACTGAGCTTAAATCTGCTGAGAGTCAGAGACAGACACGCACAGAAGACTTGGGAAAACCACAAGGAGATTGCTGAGTTGTCATCTCTGAACAATAATAGGATATAAAGCCAGCTTCGCGTGCCTCAGGACTCGGCATGCCTGGAACGGAGTGGCGGCTTGGCCAGAGCAATGCCCACCTTCTCCCAGCTGTCACATGTTTTTTCCTCTTGCTGTGTGAGTCTGTGCCCTAATCTCCTCTTCTTATAAGGACACTAGCTGTATTGGATTAGAGTCCACCCTAATAACCTCATTTGTTTTTTAATGATTTATTTATTTTTGGATGCGCTGGGTCCTTGCCGCTACTCGTTGGCGTTCTCTGGTTCCAGTGAGCGGGGGCTGCTCTCTAGTGTGGTGCTCAGGCTCTTCTTGCTGCAGAGCGCAGGTTCTAGGTTCAGGGGCTCAGTAGTTGTGGCTCCTGGCTTAGCTGCTGCGAAACATGTGGGATCTTCCCCAGCTGGGGATCGAACCCGTGTCTCCTGCACTGGCAGGTGGACTCTTCACCACCAAGACCATCAGGGCAGCATAAGAGCATCCTTCTTTTCAGCACTGATGGCACTCCATGATCTGGATGGACCACAGTTTACTTTTCCATTCACACATGGTAGGGGATCTTGCCTACTTCCAAGTTTGGGCAGTTATGGATTCTGGGTGTATTTCAATGGGAGAGTCAACAGAATTTCCTGACAGTCTGGGTGTTTGTGAGTGATGGCCCCAAAGAGGATGCTGAGGCACTTGGCCAATCCGGCTGCGAGAACAGGATTCCCATGGAACCCCATTCACAAAGGGCATCAGGGAGATGATGGAAAACAGTGGCCACAACTGTTAGTAACAGTAGCTGTCACTGACAGACCGTAGCTTTCTGCCAGGCTGGGATAAGCATACCTGCAGTTTACACCAGCCCTAGGAATAGATGCTGGAGAAGGCAATGGCACCCCACTCCAGTACTCTTGCCTGGAAAATCCCATGGATGGAGGAGCCTGGTAGGCTGCAGTCCATGGGGTNGAGTGGATACAAAATCATCGCATCCATCAGTGGTTCTCAAGAGTTATCCTCAGGGGACTTCCTTAGTGGTCCAGTGGCTAAGACTCTGCACTCCCAATGCAGGGGGCCTGGGTTCGATTCCTGGTGAGGGAACTAGATCCCACATGCTGCAACTGAATTCACATGCCACAACTAAAAGATTTTGCACACTGCAAGGAAGATCAAAGATCCCATGCCCGAAGTGAAGACCCAGCATAGCCAAATAAATAAGTAACTGTTTTCTAAAAAGAGTCATCTTCCAACCAAATCTGTGCTCTGGCAGTTTCCACCCAGCTGATGGAAATGAGAAAAGTTAGAACACTGTCGTAAATTTTCATAAAACAAGATGTATTTCATGTAAAGCACAATCCTTAAAAAAAAAAAAAAAAAGAACTACCCTTTTGTTTGAGATATGCCCTTTTTTGAATGCCTAAAATTGTCTCTCTTTCCTTTTGAAATAATAATGAAAGAAGTTAGAAGTGTGCTTGCCTAAATGAACTTATGGAACAAAATAAAAGTCCCCAGGTCAGTCACTCCTTTTTGTTGCTTCAGCTGGTGGGGAAACTTACCAATCCATGAAATTCCAGTTTCTGGGTGTCACTGATTTTATGTAATCAATGTAAACTCGGTTGACTATAAAGCAATCAGAAATGCAAGTCTTCGATAATCAAGGGTTAGGACAGGTCAAGACTACTGCCAAGCAAAGTAAGCATTGATTACCTGCCCGTATATGCCCGTGAGTTAGGCAGGCATCTTCCAGGGACAAAAACACAGAATCAGTCATCCTCCTTCACTGTTAGCAAGACCACTGCCAGAGCACTTCCAGCCACACATTGTCACATCCTGTGTACACAGCTTGCAGGATTTGGGGTGTAAATGAGCTTCTCCCATCTCTCTGACTTGCTGACGGAGTCAAAGAGGCAAGATGCTTTACCTCCTACGCAATGTCTTGCCAAAATTATAGGGGGAAAAAATGACCAAGAAGATAAGGAACGAGAAGAAAATAAACGTCACACACTGAGGGTGTCTACTGCAGCGTCCCGTAACGGGGGTGAGGCGAACTGAGAACATAGCCTTGTGCGTAACTGAAGCCCGGCCCAGAGTTGTGTGTGGCAATTTCTCTGGTCTGAGTGTGCCAGCCCGGGGCTGCCTGAGGCCACGTCCATGGCCGCATGGGAGATGCTGGTCTAGGAAAGGACAGTTCGATGCTGGCAGAGACGGGCTGACGAAGGGCCTCAGCACACAGGTCGGATCCTGTTCCTAGAGCTTCTCCTCCACCTGAGTCTCTCCAGGACTTTCCGCAGCCGTGCCAGACAGCAGCATCCATTTTAAATCAAGTTGGTCTGAATTGCACGTCTGCCCCCTGGCAAGAGAAGTTCTGACAAATACATCGATAAACATAGAAATCTGGAGTCATGTTTAAATTCTTCTTTGTGTTACAAGCAGCCTTTCAAGGGGAAGGAGTAACAGCAGGACGATGAATGCATGGCTGACCTTGGCCATTGGAGGGGCTGCCCTGGCCCCTGGCGCCCAGGTTTCACCATTGAGCTGTATCCAAGCCCCACATGAGTTTTCTGTTTCTTCCTTTAACGCTTTCCAGGTCTCAAAACTGCATAAACCTGCACATCTCTGCCATCCATCTATTACCCTTTCTCTTCTCAATCTTTCATTCTTTTTTTTGTTAATTTATTAAAAAATTTTTTATCTTTTACTTTTTTTTGCTGCACCACATGGCATCCTGGGTCCTAGTTCCCCACCCCGCCCAGGGACTGAACCCACATCCGTTGCGTTGGAAGCGTGGAGTCTTAACCACTGGACCGCCAGGGAAGTCCTTCAAGCCTCCATTCTTTTTTCTTATTTCTTAAACACACTAAAGAGGGCGTGAAATCCCACGGCTGTAAGCCCTGTAGGTCAGGGCCTGACTCTGTTATTGATGAGAACAGTGGCTGGCTGGTGCTGTCACTCACACTCCCTAAACCGTTCTGCTGAAGCGAGGCTCCTAAAATGTTGGCAGGTGGTTTGAACTGTGTCATACTGAAACAGCTATCTGTATGTTTAAATGACTGTCTTTCCTCGCCTTATTCTAAAAACGCTTTGATTTACCGCCTAACAGTTGAGAGGAAGATGCATATCCCTACATTACCACATTTGCTGCCTGGTATTACTTCTGCTTTTTATGTGTCCGTCACCACCAGACTGTACCTGCCTGTGAGCAGAGACCACGGCTTACTGGATTTGCATGACCAGCCCTCAGCGTGCTTCTCCATGAGGTACAAGCTATTCTTAAAATGCCATAGTACCTTGCTTCTTGGTCCGTGGGCCAGCAGCATCTGGATCACTGGGAAAGAGGACTGCTAATGCAGAATTTGGGCTCCACCCCAGAACCACTGGTTTGCAGTTGAGACCTGGGGTGCAGAGAGAGCTGGGGTGATCTTGCAGAGGCAGGGGCTGATTGACAGGAGAGGGGAGGAGGGGGAAGGAGGGGGAATCCTGGTGGGTGAGCCTGAAGGGCGGGAGTGAGGAATGACGGTGAGTTCAGAGGGGAGATGGGGTGGCAGGAGGAGGATGCGTCTGCAGGAAGGAATTTAGTTCTAGGGTCCTATGCCCTGCAGGACCCCCTTTATTCACACAGAAACTATTCCCTCCACCTCAGGGTGGAGAAAGGTAGCTGGGAAAACCGTCACTGCTGATGAGGAATGACCAGAGTATCATACCTTTTCCTTCTCCCATCTTGAAAGAGAGACCATCTTTAAAATTAGGCTGTCCCAGGTCTTCTGAATTTTGCATCCTGAGGAGACAGGATCATAAAAGCAGAGAGCCATCAGGTTCTCAATCTTAGAAACTATTGAATGTGTTCAAATGAAAAGATAAACTAACATTGCCACTTCAGTGCATCAATGAATTGGGTTTTGGCCAGCATCTGCTTCTGTAAGAAGTCTGTAAATGATTTCCATTGGAAAACACAGCTCGGGGAACACTTAATAAGTGCAATTTGATGATGATAATGATGATTCACGTAGCAGCACCCTATATCCAGTGAAGCAAATATTCCCAGGGAATAGTGATTAAAAAAAAAAAAAAAAGCAAGCTAGGTCCAGGACGCATCTAAGGAAGGGGGGTCCCTTGGGGATCAGGACTGCAGTGTGGTCAACTGCAATTCCGAAAACAGCTGGCTGGATCAAAGACTCTGCTTCCCTAAACCTGCTCACCCCCGCCCCATCCCACCTGACCATCCTGAGTACCACCCTAGGCAGTTCTTTTGAGCGTGAAGGTAGCAGTTTAGGGAAAGGCGTGGAGAAGCGGGCCCTGGAGACCGGGACGCCCCAGGGGGACCTCGGGCAAGAAATGGGTCACGGGGCTCCGGGGCGGCGCTGTCCCGCCCCCGCGCCATGCGAGCCCGGGTGGGATGCGGGGCGGCGGCGGCCACCGTGACGCTGCAGTTCCTGGCGTCCGGCTCCTCTCGCTCGCACCCGGCGGTGTGCCCCGCGCGCGGCCGCCGCCCCTCGCCCCGCGGGTCCGGCGCCGACATGCGACCCGGGTAGCGCTTCGGGAGCAGCGGAGGAGCTCCCCACCCCCGGCCTGGGCGCGCCAAGGTGACCCCCGCGATGTACCCGCGCCCTGTGGGTCCCCTCGCGTCCCCTCGCGTCCGCCGCGGTGCCTGGGCATCCATCTGTCCGTCCGTGTCCACACTTCCATCGCGTGAACCCCCCTTTCGTGGCTCTGCGGCGACTGCCCGGTGCGCACGGGTCGGCGGGGCGGGGTGGGGGGGAGCGGCCGGGACCCCCTTTGTTCTGGCTGGGGTGTGAGTGTGCGCGCGCGCTGGGCGCCTGGCGGGTGGGAGTTTTGAACGTTCCAGCGAGGATGGCAGCCCAGCCCGGCTGGAGAGCTGTCGCCGCGGCTGGGTCCCCCCCCGCGGCAGCCCCGGTGCCAGGCGGCCGCTCGTTGGTGGCACGCGAGACACATTTTCACGTGTGTCCCCAGCACTTGAGCAAACAGACCGCTGCGGTCCCGCGTGTGCCTTCCCCGCTCGCGCGCCTGTGTGCAAGTCCCATCCCGGGTGTCACCCAGCGCCAAGACGGCATTTTTTTTGTTGTTGTGGGTTTTAAGCCATGGAGACTTTGGCTTTTGTCGTACTTCTTACGAGGTTGTGATTTGGAAAGCTTGTGGCATTTGGGGGCAGTGTCTGAGTAGGGCTGGTTCTCTGTTGGTGTGGTTTTTGTGTGATGTGGGATTGTCGCCCTGCCATATCTCAGCACTAAACAGCCTGTCTTTTCGTTGAAGAGGACAGGGGTTAAAATGAATGAAGACCCGAAGGTCAATGTAAGCGGGCTGCCTCGGGAGTTTGTAGATGCCGGTGCCTCCGGGAACATCTCCGCAGAGGTCTCCTCCCAGGTCCCTGTCCTGCAGCCGGAGCCGGACCTGGTGGTTAACCCCTGGGACATTGTCTTATGTACCTCGGGAACCCTCATCTCCTGCGAAAATGCCATCGTGGTCCTTATCATCTTCCACAACCCCAGCCTGCGGGCACCCATGTTTCTGCTGATAGGCAGCCTGGCGCTTGCAGACCTGCTGGCCGGCATCGGACTCATCGTCAATTTTGTCTTTGCCTACCTGCTTCAGTCAGAGGCCACCAAGCTGGTCACCATCGGACTTATCGTGGCCTCTTTCTCTGCCTCCGTCTGCAGCTTGCTGGCCATCACGGTTGACCGCTACCTCTCCTTGTATTACGCCCTGACCTACCACTCAGAGAGGACGGTCACGTTTACCTACGTCATGCTCTTCATGCTCTGGGGGACCTCCATCTGCCTGGGCCTGCTGCCGGTCCTGGGCTGGAACTGCCTGCGGGACGAGTCCACTTGCAGCGTGGTCAGGCCCCTCACCAAGAACAACGCTGCCATCCTGTCGGTCTCCTTCCTCTTCACCTTCGCACTCATGCTGCAGCTCTACATCCAGATCTGTAAGATTGTCATGCGACACGCCCATCAGATCGCCCTGCAGCACCACTTCCTGGCCACCTCGCACTACGTGACCACCCGGAAGGGCGTCTCCACCCTGGCCATCATCCTGGGGACCTTCGCTGCTTGCTGGATGCCTTTCACCCTCTACTCCTTGATCGCCGATTACACCTACCCCTCCATCTACACCTATGCCACCCTCCTGCCCGCCACCTACAACTCCATCATTAACCCCGTCATATATGCATTCAGAAACCAGGAGATCCAGAAGGCCCTCTGCCTCGTGTGCTGCGGCTGCGTCCCGCCTGGCCTGTCCCAGAGAGCGCGGTCACCCAGCGACGTGTAGCGGGCTCTCCACCTAGAAGGAGCCTGCGGGAATTTACCAAGCACTCCCACTGCCTGGCCAGACCGTTGAGATGCACTCCTTCCATCCTTTCTGCTGGAGTCTCTCTCGAGCCACAGGAGCACTTTGAAGCATTCACTTAGATGAGTTAAGTGCTTGAAGTGAAAATAATGTCACCAGTGTTTTCACCTTTTTAAAAGCAATTGAGTTCTTTGCTCAATGTTATTTTGTTTTGTTTGGGATGGGTTTGTTTTTTTTTAAGTATTTTATTTGAAGGCGGGGCTTATGCTTTTTTGTTGTTTGGAGGATTGATATTGTCAGGGGAAAGGAAGGGGTGTAACATGGCCATGAAATTATGAAAGGTAAACTGGTCCCAGAGTTTTTACCTGGACTTTAAAATAAAACTGAATTATTGAGGAAATTGGAGAAAGTACTTTTTTCAGACCTTCTTTTTTAAAATGTCAAGGTAGATTTTTTTAATGCTGCATGATCTAACAGAATACAATCACTCTGAAGCCAATAGTCTATGTGATTATGTTATGGATTTTATTAACACGAACTGATTTTATTCGTGTGAACTCAGTTGTGAGTTACCAACACTGAAACCATAAACTCATTTTTATTCATTCTTTCTTTACTTTCAGCAGTTGCTGTTGACAAGAGTTATTTTGGCATTTCTATGACTGTTGTTAACTCTTTCTGCATGGCTGCCTGTGTCAGCTAGACCACTAGTTTCAAATGTTGCCATGTAAATCCAGAACCAGATGAATGAGTCACTCTTCAATACAGTTTTTCAATATGACCTTCTAAAATGAAATATGAAATGTGTTGTGATTTACGTACAAAGTAGGATTGATTAGGTATAACACAGTAGTTTCCTGAGCTACAGTATGTGTTCAGGAAACAAAAGAAAAAAATCAGTATCATGTTCAAATTAGATTAAATTGATTTTAGTATACTCTGAAAAAAATGAATCGATGTGAAGTTATCACAAAATATAAAAAGCATCACTTTTCCTATCTAAGAATGTATTAATAGTTTTTCTTGGTTGAACCAAATACAATGAAATACTGTAGACCAAGTATTTCTGATTCATACACTGTCTGTGGTGTCAGTGCATTTGAAACAGGTGGTCTTCTATTTTACCAGTTAAGCTTGTGAATAAATAACATACATATCTGATTGTGATGTATATCGGGCTATATTCTGTATGTTTACAAGCAGAATGACCATGTGGCTGTTTATGAAAAGTTGAATTTGAATTCCTTTTCTTTTCACCAAAAAACAACTTAAATTCAATAAAAACTATATTGCCTGTTTTCAGAGAGCCAAGATTTAGTCCAGGAAATGACACAGAAAGAATAATTTTAAATATATCATAAAACTGCTGTGTTTGACTGTCTTCTGTTAGCACAGAGGATACTTTGGACACAGAAAACCTTGCCTCCAGTTGCAGTGTGTTTATAGCTGTGGCTGAACAACCTGTGGGAGAATTTCTGGACAGCCCATCCATGTAGCCCATTCAGACAGTGGATCCCTGGGAATCATTTGTAGTAAATTAACCTCTTTGGTGTGTCCCAAACCTTATATTCACAGGGGTCTGAGGCCCTTCTGGCAGCCTGCAGGGCTGATACCATCTCTCCAGGGCCCCTTCTAATGCAGCCCAGGTGTGGATCAATCCTGCCTGAGTCGATGTAGAGGAGAGGGGTGGAGACATTGCAGAAATGGGAAAGGATTTTCAATACACATCACTGGATGACCCATCTTAGCCTTTAAAAATTCTTCAACACATGACAGAGTTGGCAGGTTGAATGTGATTAGCCTGATTTTCGTCACTTGAAAGTTAATTGCATCTCCATGGGAGAAGTGACTGAGGTAAGTTGGTTTCAAGGTGGGCTGGGAAATATCCATAAAGAGGTTTGAAAACAAAAAATGGTGTTTTTGTAGAAATAGTGTTTGCCATTTTCGTATCTCTAAGAGTAATTGTAATGATCATAATAAGTACTGTTTTTCACCACATTAAAATGTGCCGGCCTCATGCTGGGTGCTTTACCTGCTCTGCTCTCTTCACAAAAACACACATTTACAGTTAAGAAAATAGAGGCTCAGAGAGGCAAAGAAATTTGTCCAAGGCCACAGAGCTTCAAGGGTAAAGCTGGGATCTGAACCCAGGTTTTCCAGAGTCCATGCCTGTCTCCCTTCTGCACGGGGCCGCCCTGATGCTGCCCTGAATACGAGGGAAATGATTTACAACATGTGTTATTGTTTAGTTGCTCAGTTGTGTCTAACTCTTTGCAACCCCATGGACTGTAGCCTGCCAGGCTGCTCTGTCCATGGGGATTCTCCAGGCAAGAACACTGGAGTGGGTTGTCATGCCCTTCTTCAGGTGATCTTCCTGACCCAGGGATCGAACCTGGGTCTCCTGCATTGCAGCTGGATTCTGTACCATCTGAACCACCAGGGAAGCCACCTATGTTACTGTCACTGAAGTTTTAGTTCTATAGGTAAGACGTAAAGCTTCCCCTTTAAAATTACATGGGATGGACTATCAATGTAGTCCTGCCTAGGTGAAAGAGGCCTGTTTTTCTTTAGGTCTCTTCTTCCCAGAGCTTTTTTCCCATTTAGGGCCCCGTTAGGGCCAAGGCCCCCGCCCCCAGTCCCACCCCTTGCCCAGAGGCACAGTGCAAAGTTTTAATGCAAAGAGATGAGGGTACTCTTATTATTCAAAGATTTCCTCTTCATTTACTATTTAAATCCTCCTATTATACCTTTACATCAGTATGTAATCGTCTTCTAAATACTAGTTAAGTGGCTGCTTTTGCCTCCTGTTTTTTAAATACCTGATTTCAGCTGAGATTTTTTTTTTTCAATCAACTAACATGTTCTTACAGTTTATTTTCAGTTGTGAAGATTTCTGGATGTTTATGTGGGGGGTCCGTCTTCCCTCCTGGTACCTGGAGGCAGGGGGTGGGGTGATGGGGAGAGCACCTTTTCCAGAAACCTAAATGGAACAGCCGCATTCACGAAGGGAAAATTCCTCTGCTGACTTAGCAGGCAGGATTGATCTTGGAGTCCTGCAAAATTTAAAGCAGGATTTAAACATGTTTAAAAGAGAAAATGTCCCTCACAGCTCAGTTGGTAAAGAATCTGTCTGCAATGCGGGAAACCCTTGTTCAATCCCTGGGTTGGGAAGATCTGCTGGAGGAGGGGTGGGCTACCCACTCTAGTATTCTTAGGCTTCCCCTGTAGCACAGTGGGTAAAGAATCTGCCTGCAATATGGGCCGACCTGGTTTCAGTCCCTGAGTTGGGAAGATCCCCTGGAGAAGAGAAAGGCTACCCACTCCAGTATTCTGGCCTGGAGAATTCTGCAGAGTTGGGCATAACTTTCACTTTCAGTGCCAATAAAAGTATTTTGGAGCCTTAGTAAACTTTGTGTTTTTAGAGAATTGCTCTATTAATTATTAAAATAGTGATTGATTTTATTTATTGATACCATATAGATCATTTATTAGGACGACTTACCATTTCAAATTAAAAATACATATTAAGTGGCTATGATGGTATTGTATTGAACATTTATGTTTCCACTTTGATCAAAACCCAGTGTAATAAAGGAACAGATGGCCTTCTTGTCCCTTTTGAAGAATGGGATGATTATCAGATGGTTTTGCTGTCTGATTGGAATCTTAAAATCTGATTAGATCTTTTAGAATCATCAAATTTAGTTTATATACATCAAGAAAGTAAAAACATAGTTTGAATTAGCAGACAGATACACTGTCCCCTGGCAGACAATGCAGAGAAAATCCTGATAATTTTGACTAGGGTGGTGCTAGTGGTAAAGAAGCCGCCTGCCAAGGCAGGGGACATAAAAGACGTGGATTCAATCCCTGAGTAAGGGAGATGCCTTGGAGGAGGGCATGGCAACCCACTCCAGTATTCTTGCCTGGAGAATTGTGTTTAATGCATATGAACTTTGAACTTTTTCTAGAATTTCTCAGTTCCTAGTAAAGATCTATAAGTATTTTTTCCATGCTAATATTCTCACTTCTTAAAATTCAGATTATCATTACCTAAAGGTGATTCTTTCATAATCCTTATATAACAATGCAATGTGTGTGTGTACATATATGTGTGTACACATATACACACACACATATATATATATATATGATTATACACAGCAGCAACCAAGGTTTTCACTGCCATTTATTCAAGGACAGCTTTCCCCATGATGCATGTGATTTGTGTTTAGGGGACTATGGGTGCTTGCATGATTTCATTTGGAAATAACTGAGATGAATACTTTTGTTCTCTGGGTTCTAAAACTCAACCAAACTCATCCTAAGGTGTCCCTTTTCTAGCCAAGATAAATCAGAGAAATTGAAAAATATCTCACCGTGATTTTTGACATTTATCTGTGATCTTTTGTATCAAAAATGCTATTAATGTTAATAGTGACGATGGTCCCTATATCCACTGTGGTACATTTCTGTCCAAGGAGGTAAGAACATTTTTTTTTTTAATCCAACAGAAGTATGTTAAAGTACAAAGTTGAAGTGGAATTTAATATATAACTTAAATATCTCCATTGTATTAAATATTTACAGAAGAAACCTAGGAATTTTTTACTCATTAAAGTTCAAATAACAGCATCAAAGCACCAGTGAACAAACTTTCCACTGAAAGTAAATTTGGAGCAGAAATGAAAACACTAGGCACAGAGTCCCTGGTAATTGACTGTCTGAACAGACAACTACAAGGAGTGTATTTTAAAAGGAAAAAGACATCTTAACAGCATCTTCTGAAAGGTAACAGAAGTCAAGGTTACTGACTTGGGAAACTGAAGGGAAAAAACCTAAGGGAAAATTGCTTTGTTCCAACTACAGCCTTACTCCTTCCAGAATCCTTTTGAAATAGGAACAAATTTATTCTTGGGTACTATAGAGTCTAACAGCTGGAAGGAAATTTACAGAGTGGGATTTTCTATATATTTTCTATATATATTTTCTAAACCATCTAAGTCAAGGTAGCTTTGGAAACTGAAGTCCCACACTTTTCCCTCAAAGCTTGGTGTGTTTTAGTATTCCTAATCATAGGCTGCCTATGGCGCTGTAATTCTGTTTACGATGGCCCAGCCCTGGAGACGCAGAGAACGCCTTCGTCACAGTCAACATTTTTATATTGAAAATATTGATTAAACAGTATTCTCTTCTTCAAATGATGTTATCCCAAAGAATTAAATCATTTTTCCTGGTTGATTTTATTTTATACCCTTTTGATCATTTTCCCGATCCTTTCCCCCACATCATCTACCATTTCTCTGCAGCCTCTTCGAGTCATCAAAACTGGGCTCCAGTGTCCCACTAAATGTGGAACTTCCTGGGGCAGAGTGATTAATTACCCTCTGTGTCTGCTGGCTGTGCAGCTGTGGGCTTTCAAGCAGAGACCCCAACCAGCAGCCTCAGCATCTCCTGGAAACTTGTTGAAAATGCAATCTCAGGCCTCACCCCAGACCTGTTGACTCAGACACTTGGGCCATGAGACCCTGCAGTCGGACCTTTAACGAGCCCACCGCCCCCGCCCCCACCTGATGCAGGTGACTAGAGTTAACTGAAAACTCTAGTCGTGCAGTCTGGGTGCTACTCTAGGAACCCCTAGAGCCTCCCTCCCTCCGGATGTCCTCCCCCACCCACCCCTCCCCCTGCAGCCCCCAGCAAACAGCCTTGTAAACAGGCATCATGCATGCTTGGTGCATGCATGACAAGTTGCTCCAGTCACGTCCGACTCTGTGACCCCATGGACTGTAGCCTGCCAGGCTCCTCTGTCCATGGGATTCTCTAGGCACAAATACTGGAGTGGGTTGCCATTTCCTTCTCCAGGGGGGTCTTCCCAACCCAGGGATTGAACCTGGGTCTCCTGCTTTGCAGGTGTATTCTTTATCAGTGAAACACCTGGGAAGATCAAAGGAACTATACTCCTTTGGTTAAGTTTAAAAAAAAAAAAGAAAAGACACTGTCACTCCCCATTAGGTAATTGCTTTCGTTCTGGAACAAGTGACAAACACTGAGGAATCTCCTCACACAGTACAGAAATAAGCCTCAGAAAAGCTTATTTCACTGTACCCAGCCCTTCTGTTTGTGTGAAGATGGTTTCTTCCATCTCTCAGACTAGGTTTCTCCTCTAGTTACCAGCAGGTGCCTACTGATTTCCTCCAGGAAGCCCCCCTGGGTTGCAGAGGTTTGGGAAAGAAAACCTATCACTCAGGGCGCCCGCCTCTACCAGCAGACCTGCCAGAGTGACAGGGCTTGAGACAGCAACGTTGATCATAGATGTCATTTCTATTGGAGTAAAAATAGGTTTATGATTGTAAGAGGGAAAGACGTCAATCAATGGTTATGTAGTCTTCCTGAGTAAAATGATTGGGAACACGGGCTCTGAACACATGCCACCTGGGTTCATGTCACTTCCGATTACTGGCTTTGGGATGTATTGCTGGACCTCTCCGAACCTCCATGTCCTGGTTTTATGAAAAGAGCATGACCCAAGGACCCCCCACGCAGCGATGCAGGAGATGGGACACTGGAAGGATCTAGCATACAGCGCTTTGCACAGACCTACTTGGGTGTTATTTTGCCTTAGTGTTTTTATTAGCGCTGCTGTTAATACATGTTCTGACTCACTCATTTTTCATCCCTTGAAGGTAGTATTTGAAAACTAGCCTTAAAGCTGGGGTGGGGGGGTGGGGGGTTGCTGTTTGCCCCAGCAGATTCAGAGCCAGTCCTACAAGCCTCCTTCTTCTGTGGCCCCTGGTGCTCTGCTCTGCACGTCTGGGAGTTCAACACATTTCTGAGCTCAAATTGTCTGATGATTTACTGGCTTAATAAGCAACATTGCATTTCAGAAGTCATTGCATTTTCAACTCAGGTTATATGATGTTTGCATGCCCCAGGTATGAGTCCAAAACAACTGGGCAATCTGATGCTTTGTCACAGCAGGGCTGGCAAGCTCAGAAGAAGGATTTGCAAATCGGAAAT